CTCTGGAATTTTTAGTATTCACGTGCGACGCTCGCGATCCGATCAACTAGCCAATCATGTTTAGAGTCCTTCAACTTAACGTTGAGGTTGACATGGTCACTAGTTAAACCTTTTATTTAAGCAGTTGTGAAAATTTAATCGTTATGCATCTCTCAAATCAAATAGGTTTTTTGATTGGATGGTTGAATATGTCACGCGCCGTGAATCAAAATACATTAACTTTCTAGGGTGAACAAAATTCTCTAAGCCCCCGAGGAGACAACAACTTTAACTTTCGACTCTCGCGCGATAAGGTTGTTCACCGTGAAACCGCGGCAAATGTGTGTGCCAGCCACGTACAAAAAGTGATTTTTGCAGTCATATTCGGTTTGGGATGTATGAGAAAATATTTTCAAAAATAAAAATTAAAATAAATGGCCCCACGGGAAACAGTGAGGATTGCTTTCCCTTGCCCCGAAATGGAAACAAAAACGATCTTATAACCTGATGAGTGTAACGGTGCATTTGTCTTTATTTTGCTTTATTCGTTTGTTACTGTTATTTGCACAGTCAAGGGTTGCTTGGGGTACAGATAGACGCAACTAACGAACAAAGACTCTCCAGAAATCGCCGTCTGTGTCAACATTGTGACCGTAGCTATCATCACATTCCATTTTTTCGAGGTCGTCAACGTTATGCAGTTGGACCCTAAGTTGATACTTGTTTTTTATCAAGACGGGATACCAGTATAGCCTGTTTTGATCTTCACCATGTCCCCACTTTCCAACCCGGACCTCTCCACTTTTTAGTTGACCCCAATCTTTGCAAATGCCAGCTAACTCGGAATTGTCATCCAACGTCACTCTCACAAACGAACCACAGGCGTCCGGTTGCTCATCTGTCTGACCGCTGAAGTACCGGACCACAGCTTCGCCTGAGCTGTTGGAAGCTGTGACCACGTGGAATGTGCGTCCCTGTTTCTTGTGGCAGTGGAATCTCAGCTGAGTAAAGGACAAGTGTCTTCTGAGCTCTTTCATGGCACTTTTCTGCAGAACCATGTGTGACTTACCTATTCCACGGTATGATGTCTCAATTGACACCTTAGGAGAGGGACTTCCGAACTCAACATTTGACACCAGAAGCCAACCTCCTAAAATAAAACAAACCTAAAATAAAACAAACCTAAAATAAAACAAACCTAAAATAAAACAAACCTAAAATAAAACAAACCTAAAATAAAACAAACCTAAATGATCTGGTGACATCCATGTAACTAGAATTTTGGACATATTAAATGGTAACAGGACCGAGTGGAGTCCAATTCGGTCTGTAATCATACGAGTGATTTACAGAATCGTACGACCGCAAAGCGGGAGTCCGATTTGTTAATCACTCGTATCATTACAGACAGAATTGGACGACAAGAAGGCCTGTTACCAATTAGTCAAAACTATGACAAAATTTGAGAAAGAAACTAGACATCGGTTATACGTTTTCATAAAAACGAAAAACAACAGTTTACTCGGCGAAATGCGAGACAACAGCGCGCACATGACGCGTTCTGTCCACTCACACAGGCATGACGCGTTAACTGTCCTATTAGTGTTCAAATCGGCCGGCTGATGATAACCAATCACTTTCGAGAATTCTGCTGTAGTTTTGATTCAAAACATAATAAGGATCTTGGTAAAGAAAGCAAGAATAGCCAAGACCAGAACGTTCCAATAACAACTCTACCAAGTCAGATATATATACTATTGTTGAAGTCCTCGTGTCTTAAGAAACCAATTCATTCTCTTACCACCAGATCTTGACATGTCACAATAGACCTTCAAAGGGTTTCCACTCTTCTCTGGGTCGATCCAATACTCCCCGTCTCCTTTGGAATGTCCATAGTCCAGAATTTCTTTACAGGAGAGGGCCGGATGAGCAGAATCCCAACCTCGTTTATCTGCATAGGAAAAGAGAAGTATAATCATTTGGAACGAGGAGAGGATCAAACTAAGAAACAAAACACGCCACAGAGGTCTTATTCCATCAGTAGTTCCTTCCGCGTGATTATTAGATAGCTTTTGATTTTGGAAATTTAAATTTAAACTAAGAAAATGGAAAATCTATCATTATAAGGAAAAGGAAGAGATTTTAAACTTCATATTCTCTCGGGAGAGATTATACATGGATGTACACGCGACACGAGAGAGCTCTGAAAAGCCCTAATTAGAAGTAAGAAATAGGTCACCATTTTTGACTTGGAAAAAGGGGGTGGGATGGGTGGCAGGGTCTTGGGGGGGGTATCATTGTTTTCAAAGGGAATGGAGAGAGGATCAGTGGTCGCTAACAGAGTTTAAAGGTGGGACTAAAGAAAATTGACTGCCAATGAGGAAGATCGATAGAATAATTCGGAACGTTATGGAGGGATCAGGAAAACTTTATTGTGACAACCAAAATTCTCCGACCCCTCATACCTCCCCTCCCACCTCCACTAACTTTTCCATAATATTAAGCACTTTACTCAACAGTACCTCTTCCATAATAAGTAGAACGTGGGTTACGCCTCAGGTTTTCCGGACTTGATTTTTTGGTTTGATTACTCAGTTGACATTCCTTCTTTGCATCATCAGCATGGGATTTGCTGTTGTAAGATTGGCAGTTTTCATCTTGAAGGCATCTCAATCCACAGCTTATTTCGTCAGCGTATAATGTCGTGGTGATGTGACCAATTAGCTCAAATCCTTGAAAAGCAACACAATCGCGTTTCATGTTCTCATCACTCAGTTTATCTTGGATACTTTAATAATACAGTTTGTGTGTAGTTGATTACCCTGTCTTAAGAGGTCATCTTGATTCTTGATGTCGTTCAAAGGTGAATATGAAGAAGCCCTGAGAGTTATGAGAGTTGCGCGTAGAAAGTTCCTGTTGTTTTTACCCGATTTTGGGGCGATCTCATATTTTTTTTGAGGGCGAACTGCCATGGCAACAGAGTATAAAGGGGGAAGAATGGAGATTTACTACCAATGAGGGGGATTGTAAGAATGTCACAGAACCTTATTGGGGGGGGGGAGGGATCATGTAAAGTTTATCGTGACACAGCCAAAATCTGTGTCATCCGATCCGAGTTTTCGCCCATGGCATTTGAAACATTCACATCCCGTCGGAAAAAAAAAATATCACTGTGTTGGGAACACATTCACGTGTTACCTTCAACTCTCTCGAAAACCGCGTCCCTGCTCAAGTCAGTGTGTAGAGACGAACTGAAAGCCACAAGAAACAAAGCAACACCACTCAACAGAACGGGACAGAAATGGAAACCAACTAGATGTCCTGTCATCCTGTAATTTGAGAAAGAAAGAAAAACAGATGACAAATGATGCCCTTCTCCCTTCTTAGATACAACAAATAGTTTTGATTGTGAATTTAGGGTTTTGCTAATTACACTTTGTCTGACTCAGCGAAAGAATACGAGCGCTATTTTAAACTACCAAGTCATACAAAGGAATCTTTCCTGTTAAGGATTAATTCTTGTCCACTGGCTTGCACAAGTTACCCACCCGATAGTAAGTAAATACATCGAGTTTCTCACTCACACTCACCTCCCTTTTCTTACTTTTCCTCGACTTTTCTTCTCACGTTTATGCAGTAGTAAAGGTCTTTTGTATATATACTTCTCACTCAAACGTATTTGTCGAAGTGGCTGACTATTCAAGATTTATGTTGTTATCAAAGTTAGAGAGCAGTCTTCTTCTGAAGATTAAATTAACCAATTTTCTCCAAATTGAATGACTTGGTTACTCCTTGCACAAGTTACTCACCCGATAGTAAGTAAATACATCGAGTTTCTCACTCACACTCACCTTCCGTTTCTTACTTTTCTTCTTACGTTTATGCGGTAGTAAAGGTCTTTTGTATATATACTTCTCACTCAAACATATTTATCCAAGTGGCTGACTATTCAAGATTTATGTTGTTATCAAAGTTAGAGAGTAGTCTTCTTGAAACCAGTATATTCTTACCTTCAGTTTCCTTCCACTCCTCTCGTATTTTTGTATCGAAAAACTCTTTTATCAACTTTTTATACAATTTTAATGAAACTTGAGACAATGATTAAAAGAAAAAAATAGAAACAGCTTAAGAACCCATACATAAATTATGCATCAGTCAACTTTGCACGAAGTACTGATCACGACTTGGGGTTAGCATTTCTTTACATTTGAGTAAAGCGTGGGGGCATTTAATTAGAAGCAAACCTAGATTACTCGGATTGTTTTTATTATCCGGATTTCTTTTCTCAATTAGTCGCATTCAGGATACAGAGCAACTTTTTCCCATCAAACAAAGCTAAATTCGCCTAATGAAAACTGAAAGAACCACAGGATATAATTTCAAGGTTAAAAGTTTTCTTCAGTGATGAAAGTGACAGGATTCCTTCTCATGTTCTAACTCGTACATTTATGACTCACAATGTGTTGGTATATCTGTTGTACCATACATGTTTTTGTGTGTTCCTGTTTTGCACCCGTGTTAGTTAAATCTGATAACCGAAGCCAATATGCTAAGAAACATATTTCTTTCGATGCTCCAATTATTTTCTCATCTTTTGCACTCTAGCTAATACCCTGCTAATATTGTTTACTCTCGCTTCCAGACAATTCTAATACAGACACCTGGCAATGTTGATAAATTAAGCGACTAACTGACTGTAGGGGAAACAATGAGTTTTGTTTCCATTGCGGGTCAAAGGAAAGCAATTCTCACTGTTTCCCGTGGGGCCAGTCACTTTGATTTTAATTTTTAAAAGTGTTTTGTCACACCTGGCAAAGTTGATAAAATAAGTAGCTAATGACCGACTTCAAGGGAAACAATGAGTTTTGTTGCCCTTGCCGGGCAAGACAAGGCAATCCTCACTGTTTCCCGTGAGGCCAGTCACTTTAATTTTAACTTTTTGAATTGTTTTCTCATACACCCCAACTCGAAAATGACTGCTAAAATATTATTTTTTACACAGGCTGGCACTCACATTTGCTGCAGTTTCACGGTGCACGACCTTATCCCGTGAGAGTCGAAAGTTCAAGTTGTTGTTTACCAAGGGGCTTTTTGTTCACCCTAGAAAGTTGGTGTATTTTGATTCACAGCGACTTGTTCTCCTCCAATCCGAAACCCCTTTGAGTTGAGAGGTACATAACGATTAAATTTTTACAACTTCTATCTTAATTAAATGTTGAATCAGTGCTAAGGAAATTGACCACGTCAACCTCAACGTTAAGTTCAAGGATCTAAACATGATTGGCTAGTTGGTCGAATCACGTGCGTCAAGCGTGAATACAAACATTCCAGGGAAAGTGGAATAGTACGCTTAGTTTGCACTTCGCAAAAAAATTCACGAAAACCATGAAAATCATGCCCTGCACAAAAGGTCGAGGCTAGCTGGGAAACCTCCGGGACCGAAAAAGAAAAAAAAATTATCATATAGACATTGACCCTTAAGGCAATTTAAACAAGGTGCCTTACAGCAAATAAAATCCATTTCTTCCAAGAATTTGATTCAAAACGAAAGGAAAGTGAACAGAGAGGAAACAAGTCGAAAACTTGGTTTTTCTTGGATTAATTTTCCAGAAAGTTTACTGAAGAGCCGTCATCTTGGGCGTCATTTAGTTTTCGTGACTCGAGTCTTAATTAACATATCGAACTGTGCAGAACTTAAATCTATACTCGCCACCGTCCCAATGTATACCCCAGGGTATCTGTTCAACAGATGAGCGAACGAACGAAAAATGACTATGACTTTACTTTATTTATTTTACTTTTTCTATCAATTTCGCTAGTTAAGTTTTTTTTTTGGTGAAAATTCATGCTGTGTTTTCATTGCCCTTCACACAATTTTATATAAGCTTTCATCCTTCTTTCACCTGCCCTAACACTCCCACAAAACAATCCAAAGTTCTCGCAAGCTACGACTTTCCAAAAAATAACTGATACTAATTGTCCATAAATTCAGCTTTTCGTTTTTCGACAAAAGCTGTCATCCCTTCCTTTCGATCGTCCTGCGAAATTAAAGAAAAGCAGAAATTTTTCCCTCGGGAAAGTTTCATCGCAATTCCTTACAAATTCATTACACTGTTATTCATCACCATGGTAACAATCGAACAGACGGGGTAAGTTTCTAGAGAAACTGTAGTGTTGCGGCGGGTGGGGTATCACAAATATTATTTACATCAAAAGCGTTGATAATGCAAAAATGGCCACCATAGAGAGTTTCTAAAGCTGACGTTCCTAGCGTTAGCCTTTCGTCAGAGCGAATAGAGGAATTGTGGGTTGTGTGTAGTTTACATGTGGAAAGATGGAGCTACGCTTTTAGCGGGAACATAAGAACATTTTAATATTTTAATCCAAACTTTCTTCGGTTGCGCTGAAGACGTGAAGTATTCAGCGTATTGCTCTAAATCAGAGAGACGAGGTGATATGTTTTCGGGAAATGGTTAAGTGGCTTTACCACTTTGTAATGCAATTGCCGTTTTCTTTCAATTGTAAAAGCCGATCAATATTAACTTACTGTTGAAAATGTTGAGTGAAACATTCTTTTCTCAAAATGCAGTCCTTCTGCCAGTGACATCTCGTAGCCTAAACAAAAAGACATTTGGGAAATTCAACCATCTACGGAACTTTCAAAGGGAATGCAACGACCATAAATTGTTCTTGCATGCATTTCTTGTAAACTGTTAAACTTTTAGACTCAAGCAGGTCAGTCATGATGATTTATATCCCGAGGCAACAAAACCCTACGCGAGATCAAGTTCTTCTCTCTTCTCTGCTTGCGCAAAAATCTACCTCATTTTCTCAGTTTGCTTAAATTAAGATGATGGCTTAGAAACAATCAATTTTACTCTTGTGAATGGAAGTACGTCATGATGTTTTGGGCTATTTCGGTAACTAGAAAAAAGATAGTTTCGCAGTGGAACAGTCAAATAGGATAGGTAACTGTTTTGAAGTTGACTGGTAAACCAACAAGAAACGTCTAGCGATAGACAAGATCAACACCGACTTCAGTTGACATAAAATCTTTCGAATAATCGAGGTATAACTCATGACAGGAAACAGTCAATCGGATGGTTACAACTGCCAGGGCAATACCTGTGTTGACAGCTTCCTTGGCGATCTGTACGGCAATCTTCGACAAGGATGATATTTTTGCAGCTGTCTTGATAGCTTCATCTACGAGCTCTTCTGCGGGGAAGACTTTACTAACCGGGCCTAAGAAAAAATGAAAGTTTTTAAGTCTGCAATTTGAATTTAGATCTAAGTGAAGAAAAATCTCGAGAATGAGTGCGCAATGCCCCACCTGACAAAGCCGACGCCAATAATTCTCAGAAGTTTATGTAGTTTTATCACAGGAGTGCATGCCCCGAGTTCATACTTTTATTAACCCTTAAACCTAACTGAACAACTTGAGGTAACGCGGCCTTAACTGCGACTTTTTGAAAAAAGTGTATAGAGCAAATGTACTTGAATCAAAACGAAGAGAAAGGTTTGCGCAAATAACTTTTGCCGAGAGCTTTTAATAAGAGAGGAGAGTACTGAAGACATACAAGTTTACGTAAACTCTAAAAAAACGTCTTCGGAAGTGAACGGTTCCTTCGCGGAAATGCTAACAAACAGAAGGGAAAAATATACGCTTTTAACTCAAATTTTGCAGGCTTACATAAGTGTTTAGCACAAAACAGTGTGTCTCCGTTGCAGTCCTTGATGATGTGGAAGTACTGTACACATTTCTCAATAATTTGTGTGAGAGTTTCCTTGTGCCACCGGGAAGACTTACGATGCTAAGTACCTCCCTCCTTGGCCCTTTAACCCCTAAGATCTGATTGTTAATTTTCCCCTCTAGCTGCTACACATTTCCTTTTTAATTAGTTACGAGAATTTGACGTTAGATCAATAACAACTTTGAACTGATAAGTTAAATATTCTCATTACTCGTTTGCTGGATGATGTAAGTTTATTACAGGGAGAAGTTGCATGTTGATCGATTTTGTAAGGTAAAGAGGTAATGATGAACAACTGGTCAAAAATAGGAGCTAAGTTGAAAGGAACATGGACCTGATTTCTGTGCATCTTCTGCTGAAATAGGATCTCCTGTTAGTACCATTTCCATAGCCAGAGACTTCCCAACAGCTCTTGGAAGTCGCTGTGTACCACCAGCACCTAAAAAAATGAAAGAAATCTTCGAGTTAGTTGCAACTTTAAGCACAAACTTAAATTTAAACTTGACACAGTTGTAATTCTACTTATTGTCAACCATACAATTCTTATAATTTTAGTTTAAAGAATTTAATATTGAATCAACTAATTATCCCCAAATTGAAATTTTTCTATATTCTCACCACTTATCTGGTTAATATTGTATTGATAGTGTAAAGAGAAATTCTGTCTTGGTCACTCATGGGAGTTAAAGGGTTAAAGAACATAAAAGCAGCAATATAAGAGAGTCTAGAATAAAAAAATATCCATTTCATAAAACTGAAAGCCATCTTACTCCTATGATCTTTCCTGATTACAAGTCTTTACTTCTTCAAATCATATCACTTTTTTTTAAGTTAAAGCAAATTTGAACTTTTTTACCCCAAAGAGTGACTAGCATCTAGTTTCTCCTTACAATATCAGCCCTGAATCACACATTAAAGTCATGAGAATAAAGGAAATGATCATCAATCAAACAAGCTCTTGATTGTTAAACAAATTCTCCTTGTCAGCACATTAGAAAATGTATGGAGAAAAGTATGGAGAACTTGCAGACTGATGTTTGGGTGTAAAGGGGCTAATGACTAATACTCTTAAGAAGTATAAAAAAATCTTGGAAAGGAGAAGACATAATTTTCATTTTCTTCATCTGCTATCCTGTAGCTTATTTGTGCTCTCTGATATTTTAATCAGTGGAATATATTATATTTTCTTATTGTGCAAACTGATAAAGTTGTTTCTGTGGGTAATTTATGTGTGCAATACCTGGAATAGTTCCAAGTAAAATCTCTGGTTGACCAAACTTAGCTTTGTTTCCAGCATAAATGATATCACACATCATGACTAACTCACATCCTCCTTCAAGCTGTGAAGAAAGTATTGTACAACATACTTCAATCGAGCAACAACGAAAAAAGACAAACTTTGTTTGCCACCCTTAATAACACAATGACAGCTACAAGAAAATCTCTTGATTATTGGATAATCTGAGCACTGAGCTGGTGATTTGCACCGATAACTTAGACTACTGGCATCTTATTCATAATAATATTTTGGACATATTAATAATGGTAACAGGACCGAGTGGAGTCTAATTTGGACTGTAACCATACGAGTGATTAACAAAATCGTAGGACCGCAACGAGTATGATTTCAGACAGAATTGGACAACAAGAAGGCCTTTTACCAATTAATCAAAACTATGACAAAATTTGGGAAAGAAACTAGACATTGGTTATACGTTTTCAGAAAAAACCAAAAACAACAGTTTACTCGGCGAAATGCGAGACAACAGCGCCCGCACATGACGCGTTCTGTCCCCTCATACAAGCGTGACGTGTTAACTGTCCCTTTAACTGTCCTATTACACTGTCCAATTACAAGTATGACGTGTATACTGTCTTGTTGTGCTAAAATAGGCCGGCTGGTGATAACCAATCACGTTCGAGAATTTGGTCACAGTTTCGATTAAAAAACACAATAAGGACCTTTGTAGAGAAAGCACGAATACCCTAGACCAGAATGTTCCAATAGAAACTGCTCCAAGTCAAATATACTCCGGTTAAATTCCTGGTGTCTCTAAAAAAAACTTATTCACCTACCACCATATCTTGACATGTCACAATAGACCCTCAAAGGGTTTCCATTCTTCTCAGGGTCGATCCTATACTCCCCGTCTCCTTTGGAGTGTCCAGAGCGCAAAATTTCCTTGCAGGAGAAGGCCGGATGAGCAGAATCTCAGCCTCGTTTATCTACATCGGAAGAGGGAAGAATAATCATTTGGAACTAGGAGAAGATCAAACTTAGAAACAAAACACCTCACATAGGTCTTATTCCAAAAGTACCGTAAACGTCCATGTATAAGCGGCATCCGTAGATAAGCCGCACCCCCGATTTGGAAGCGCAGAATTTGGAAAAAAATAAAAACAATACAGTTTGAAGTTTCAGTAGAGTTGTATTGCTACAAACAATCAAGGTTTCGAAACACCGACTTAGAAGTTGTGGCTATCTTTCACATTTATCAAGTCTAAAGAAAGCGAAACAGAAAAGAGAACAAATAAGTGCTTAGTAGCCAAGCTTTAAATGTTGGGAGGAGTCTGGGCCAGGGCCTGGCCATCGTCGACTCAGCTGTTCGGGGATACCACGTGTATAAAGATGTTTGGAAACCCGCAATAGGTGAAAAACTTCATGCAGAACAGGAACCTGATAATGCAGTCGACAAATTTGCCATGAAGGTAGTAAAAAACAACGAGAGATTCCTTGTATGTTGGTGTTTAGTTGTTCGAGTAAAGCGAAAATTAATCACTTGAAAGAACTCTTGGAGAGAAAGATTCGCCGATAAACGCTCGAACACACAAACGGCTCCTTTAGGAGCCACCACTCAATGAAAAAGTCAATGAACTACAGCAACACGCTCTCAGTTTCTTTAATGTTTATTTCTTGGCATCTTAAGAAGTTTTATGAATATTTATTAGGTTTTTGAGAACTCCAAACACAAATGTATCCATGCATAAGCCGTACCCTTGATTTTTGGCTTCAATTTTGTGAAAAAAAGTGCGGCTTATACATGGAAGTTTACGGTAGTTCCTTTCGCGAGATCATTAGATAGCTTTTGATTTTGGAAATATTTGTAGGATACATAGCATCCTTCTATCTCAAATTAAAAAAATGGAAAAGTTATAAGGAAAGGCAAGAGATCATAGACTTTATATTCTCTGAAAAGCACTTAGGAGAAGTAAGGGATAGGTCACCATTCTTCGCTTGGAAAAGGGAGTGGGAGGGGAAGGAGGGTCTTACGGGGGGGTTGGGGGTATCCTGGTTTTCATAGGGAACGGAGATGAGATCGATCGTCGCAGACAGACTTTTAAGATGGAACCTAAATTGAAAATTGATTTGAAAATTGGCTGACTCGATGAATTGTGAGAACCGAAATCCTGTGACCTTTCCTTCCCCCTCTTCCACCCTTCTACCCAGGTGGAAAAAATATGACTTGTTCCTAAGGTTAAGCACCTTACTCAACAGTACTTCTTCCATAACAATTAGAACGTGGGTTACCGTTCAGGTTTTCCGGGACTTGATTTTTTAGTTCGGTTACTCAGCTGACATTACTTCTTTGCATCGCTAACATCGGATTTGCTGTTGTAAGATTGGCATTTTTTATCTTGAAGGCATCTCAATCCACAGCTTATTTCGTCAACGTATAATATCTTGGTGATACGACCAACTAACTCAAATCCTAGAAAAACAACACAATCGTGTTTCATTATATTATTATGCAGTTTACTTTGGATACTATCATAATACAGTTTGTGTGTAGTTGTTCACCTTGTCTTAAGAGGTTATCTTGATTCTTGATATCGTGCACCGTTGAATATGAAGAAGCCCTGAGAGTTATGAGAGTTAAGTGTAGAAAGTTTCTGTTGTTTTTACCCGATTTTGGGACAATCCCATGTTTTTGTTAAGGAGGATTTGTTGTGGCCAGCAGAGTATAAAAAGAGACCGTAAGTGTAGAAAATTGACTGCCTTTAGTTGTAGTTTCGTCGTCTTAAAACAATGAATCACTTTCTTACGTTTCCTACCTATGATTCTGACTGCCTAGACTTTAAATGTGCTGTTGCGCAAAATGATGCATTTTATCTGTATTTTTGTAATTCCTTTTGTATCAGATTCTTATTTTATCTTGAGGGAGTAAATGGAGAATTCTTACCATGGTCACACGTAACCATGGTAAGAATTCTCTATTTAGAGTACAGCAGTTTTCACTACAAACTATTTATAACCATGTAGTTTTAAACTATAAAGTTTTTAAGCGCCCTCTAGTTGCAGTTTGGCCGTCTTAAAGCAATGAATCACTTTATCACGTTTCCTAGCGATAGCTCTGAATGTCTAGACTATAAGTGTGCTGTCGCGTAAAATAATGCATTTTATCTGAATTTTTGTCTTTCCTTTTATTTCAGATTCTTATTTTATCTTGAGGTATTCAAATGGAGAATTCTTCCCATGGTTAGGCGTAAAGCCGGTAAGGATTAAATTAAAAACAAGAAAAATGAAAGGACAGTCCTCTTCTACTTCAATCTCACAAACGACCCACAGGCATCCGATTACTCATCTGTCTGACCGCTGAAGTACTAGACCACAGCTTCACCAGAGCTGTTGGAAGCTGTGACCATGTGGAACGTGCGTCCCTGTTTCTTGTGGCAGTGGAAGTCATTCTCAGCTGAGTGAAGAACAAGTGTCTTCTGAGTTCGTTCATGGCACGTTTTTGCAGAACCATGTGTGACTTACCTATTCCATAGTATGATGTCTCAATTGACACCATAAGAGAGGGGCTTCCGAACTTAACATTTGACACTAGAAGCCAACCTAAAATAAAACGAACTTAAGTGATCTGGTGACATTCATGTAACTAGAAATATTTACATATGAATAATGGTAACCTGACCAAGTGGAGTCCAATTTGGTCTGTACTCATACGAATGATTAGCAAAATCGTATGACCGCGAAGCGGGAGTCCGACTTTTTTAATCACGAGTATGATTACAGATAGAATTGGACGACAAGAAGGACAGTTACCAATTAATCAAAACAATGACAAAATTGAGAAAAAAAAGAGACTAGATATCAGTTATACGTTTTCATAAATACGAAAAACAACAGTTTACTCGGCGAAATGAGAGACAACAGCGCCCGCACATGACGCGTTCTGTCCCCTCACAGCACCTCTTCCATAATAAGTAGAACGTGGGTTACGCCTCAGGTTTTCCGGACTTGATTTTTTAGTTTGATTACTCAGTTGACATTCCTTCTTTGCATCACTAACATCAGATTTGCTGTTGTAAGATGGGCATTTTTCATCTTGAAGGCATCTCAATCCACAGCTTATTTCGCCGGCGTTTAATGTCTTGGTGATATGACCAATTAGCTCAAATCCTTGAAAAACAACACAAACGTGTTTCATGTTCTCATCACTCAGTTTATTTTGGATACTTTAATGATACAGTTTGTGTGTAGTTTATTACCCTGTCTTAAGAGGTCATCTTGATTCTTGATATCGTACAAAGGTGAATATGAAGAAGCCCTAAGAGTCATGAGAGTTGCGTGTAGAAAGTTCCCGTTGTTTTTACCACTTCACGGGTTTATTTGGAACCTTAGCTCAGTTGGTAGAGCACTGCACCGGTATTGCAGAGGTCATGGGTTCAAATCCCGTACAGGCCTGAATTTTTTTCAGGCCTTCTTTTCACTACTGCTTAAGTAGTGTTCATTACTGTGAAGATCGCTTTCACATTCACGTTTTTAACCGCACTTCAAATCTATGACTTCCATATATTCACAACCGTTTATCAGTATTTTTGTCATTCTTTTTGTTTTAGATTCTTATTTTATCGTGAGGGAGTAATATGGAGAATTCTTACCATGGTTAGGCGTAAGGCCGGTAAGGATTAAATTAAAAAATAGAAAATTGAACGGACAATCCTCTCTCGACAATTAGCTTGACACAACAAACACGAGTCATAGCTATTATTCGTTTACGGTATTTTGTCATAAACAATCGAGCAAATCTGCACGCGAGGCATCAGCATTGTATCACTGAGAGAACATAGATACCACTGGTCTTTAAACATGCAATGTCCAGTCTCAACCTCTTAGCGAGATTGTTGATCGTGTGAGTTCAGTGGACTTCCTGACACAGAGAGCTTCGATATGGTAGGACAACCCCTGTGTATGGAATGACGATTATTTTAGCCTCCTAATTGTAAACTGCTTGCGGTATGAAAAGAGCCCTTACATAACCTACCCTGGTCCGCCACAACGGCAACGTTTTATTCCAAGGGGCACATGACGTTGCTGATATCGAGTTTTGAGTCGACTGAAAACCCGAAGGAAAAGGAGCTTATGGGTGCTAAAAGCATAATATAGTTCTTGACTTGTGTGAAGGTCTGAACACGATAAATTCTTTTTTTTATATACATACATAATGCCCGGTTATTATGTTTGATATAAACTTCTCAATCATTGAAAATTAAAATATCTTCGATTGTGATTGGTTGCAGTATAAAGACTCGTGTCATGTCTTAAAAGTGGAAAAAAAAAACCCTCCCCCAATCCCCGAGGGGTTGAAGGTCAAAATCTGTATGATTACTTTTTTATTGTCCGGGAGATTTCCCAGCTAGCCTCGACCTCTTGTGGTAAGCATGGTTTTTCTCAATGGCTTCCCGCCACATCAAACAGGTCGTTGAAATTTTCATGTGTCAGTAGTCAATTTTTTTCGAGCTGCAAAGTGTTCTTTCCTCTTGCTCTGGAATTTTTAGTACTCACGCGCGACGCTCGCGATCCGATCACCTAGTCAATCATGTTAAGAGTCCTTCAACTTAACATTGAGGTTGACGTGGTCACTAGTTCAACCTTTTATTGAGAAGGAAGCAGTTGTGAAAATTTAATCGTTATGTACCTCTCAACTCAAATACGTTTTTTGATTGGATGGTAAAAATATGTCAGACGCCGTGAATCAAAATACACTAACTTTCTAGGGTGAAAAAAATTCACTTAGCCCCCGAGGATACAACAACTTTAACTCTCGACTCTCGCGCGATAAGGTTGTTCACCGTGAGACCGCGGCAAATGTGTGTGCCAGCCTACTTACAAAAAGTAATTTTTGGCAGTCATATTCGGTTTGGGATGTATGAGAAAATATTTTCAAAAATTAAAATTAAAATGACAGGCCCCACGAGAAACAATGACTGAGAATTGCTTTCCCTTGCCCCGAAATGGAAACAAAAACATTCTTATAACCTGATGAGTGTAACGGTGCATTTGTCTTTATTTTGCTTTATTCGTTTGTTACTGTTATTCGCACAGTCAAGGGTTGCTTGGTGTATAGATAGACGCAACTAACGAACAAAGACTCTCCAGAAATCGCCGTTTGTGTCATTATTGTGACCATGGCGATCATCACATTCCATTTTTTCGAGGTCGTCAACATTATGCAGTTGGATCCTAAGGTGATACCTTGACTTTCTTAAGACGGAATACTTGTATAGCCTCTCTTGATCTTCACCACTTCCCCACTTTCCAACCTGGTACTCTCCACTTACTAGTCGACCCCAATCTTTGCAAATGCCAGCTAACATGGAATTGTCATCCCGCGTCACTCTCACAAACGAACCACAGGCGTCCGGTTGCTCATCTATCTGACCGCTGAAGTACCGGACCACAGCTTCGCCTGAGCTGTTGGAAGCTGTGACCACGTGGAATGTGCGTCCCTGTTTCTTGTGGCAGTGGAATCTCAGCTGAGTGAAGGACAAGTGTTTTCTGAGCTCTTTCATGGCACTTTTCTGCAGAACCATGTGTGACCTACCTATTCCACGGTATGATGTCTCAACTGACACCTTTGGAGAGGGACTTCCGAACTCAACATTTGACACCAGAAGCCAACCTCCTAAAATAAAACAAACCTAAATGATCTGGTGACATCCATGTAACTAGAATTTTAGACATATTAAATGGTAACAGGACCGAGCGGAGTCCATTTCAATCTGTAATCATATTAGACGAGAAGAAGGCCTGTTACCAATTGATCAAAACTTTGACAAAATTTGAGAAAGAAACTAGACATCGGTTATACGTTTTCATATTAACGAAAAACAACAGTTTACTCGGCGAAATGCGAGACAACAGCGCGCAAATGACGCGTTCTGTCCACTCACACAGGCATGACGCGTTAACTGTCCCTTTAACGGTCCTACTACACTGTTCAATTACAAATATGACGCGTACACTGTCCTATTACTGTTCAAATCGGCCGGCTGATGATAACTAAATTCTGCTATAGTTTTGATCAAAAACATAATAGGGATCTTTGTAGAGAAAGCACGAATAGCCAAGACCAGAACGTTCCAATAACAACTGCTCCAAGTCAAATATACCTTTGTTGAATTCCTCGTGTCTCAAAAAAAATTCATTCTCTTACCACCAGATCTTGACATGTCACAATAGACCTTCAAAGGGTTTCCACTCTTCCCTGGGTCGATCCAATACTCCCCGTCTCCTTTGGAGTGTCCAGAGTCCAGAATTTCTTTACAGGAGAAAGCCGGATGAACAGAATCCCAAGCTCGTTTATCTGCGTAGGAAAAGGGAAGAATAATCATTTGGAATGAGGAGAAGATCAAACTAAGAAACAAAACACGCCACAGAGGTCTTATTCTATTAGTAGTTCCTTTCGCGTAATTATTAGATAGCTCTTGATTTTGGAAATTTAAATTCAAATTAAGAAAATGGACAACCTATCATTATAAGGAAAAGCAAGAGATTTTTAATTTCATATTCTCTAGGAAAGGTTATACATGGATGTACACGTGACATGACAGAGCTCTGAAAAGCGCTAACCAGAAGTAAGAAATAGGTCACCATTTTTGACTTTTTGACCCTTGGTCTTAGGGGGGATATCATTGTTTTCAAAGGGAATGGAGAGGGATCAGTCGTCGCTAACAGAGTTTAAAGGTGGGACTAAAGAAAATTGGCGGCCAATGAGGAAGATCGATAGAATAATTCGGAACGTTATAGAAGGATCAGGAAAACTTTATTGTGACAACCAAACTACTCCGACCCTTCATACCCCCCCTCCCACCTCCACTAACTTTTCCATAATGTTAAGCACCTTACTCAACAGTACCTCTTCCATAATAAGTAGAACGTGGGTTACGCCTCAGATTTTCCGGACTTGATTTTTTGGTTTGATTACTCAGTTGACATTCCTTCTTTGCATCATTAGCTTCGGATTTGCTGTTGTAAGATTGGCATTTTTCATCTTGAAGGCATCTCAATCCACAGCTTATTTCGTCAGTATATAATGTCTTGGTGATGTGACCAATAAGCTCAAATCCTTGAAAAACAACACAATCGTGTTTCATGTTCTCATTACTTAGTTTATTTGGGATACTTTAATAATACAGTTTGTGTGTAGTTAATTACCCTGTCTTAAGAGGTCATCTTGATTCTTGATATTGTTCAAAGGTGAATATGAAGAAGCCCTGAAAGTTATGAGAGTTGCGCGTAGAAAGTTCCCGTTGTTTTTACTCGATTTTGGGGCGATCTCATATTTTTTTAGGGCGAACTGCTATGGCAACAGAGTATAAAGGGGGAAGAATGGAAATTTACTTCCAATGAGGGGGTTTTTTGGAATGTCACAGAGCCTTATTTGGGGGGGAAATAGTAAAGTTTATCGCGACACAGTCCAAATCTGTGTCATCCGATCCGTGTTTTCGCCCATGGCACTTGAAACATTCATATCCCGTCGGAAAAAAATATCACTGTGTTAGGAGGTATAACACATTGACGCGTTACCTTCAACTCTCTCGAAAACCTCGTCCCTGCTCAAGTCAGGGTGCAAAGACGAACAGAAAGCCACAAGAAACAAAGCAACACCACTCAACAGAACGGGACAGAAATGGAAACCAACTAGAAGCCCTCTCATCCTGTAATTTGAGAAAGAAAGAGAAACAGATGACAAATGTTGCCCTTCTCCCTTCTTAGATGCAACAAATAGTTTTGATTGTGAATTTAGAGTTTTGTTAATTACACTTTGTCTGACTCAGCGAAAGAATACGAGCTCTTTTTACTCCGGCTACCGAGTAATATAAGGAATCTTCCCTGCTAAGGATTAATTCTTGTCCGCTGGCTTGCACAAGTTACTCACCCGATAGTAAGTAAATACATCGAGTTTCTCACTCACACTCACCTTCCTTTTCTTACTTTTCCTCGACTTTTCTTCTCACGTTATGCGGTAGTAAAGGTCTTTTGTATATATACTTCTCACTCAAACGTATTTATCGAAGCGGCTGACTATTCAAGATTTATGTTGTTGTCAAAATTAGGGAGCAATTTTCTTATGAAGTTTAAATTAACCAATTTTCTCCAAATTGAATGACTTGGTTACCCCTTGAAACCAGTATATTCTTACCTTCAGTTTCTTTCCACTCCTCTCGTATTTTTCTATTGAAAAACTCTTTTATCAACATTTCATGCAATTTTAATGAACCTTGTGTAACAATGAAAATTATAGAAATGAATAGAAACAGCTTGAGAACCCGTACATAAATTATGCATGGGTCAGTTTTGCACGAAGTACTGATCACGACTCGTTTTACCGACTCTTTACATTCGAGTAAAACGTGGGGGCGTTTGACTTTAATAGAGAAAAACCGCGATTATTCGGATTTTTTTTTATTATCCGAACTTCTTTTGTCCTGCACCCTTTATGAGTATCAATAAGTCGCATTTGGAATCCATAACAACTTTTTCCTACCAAATAAAGCTAAATCCGCCTAATGGAAAAGAGCTACAGGGTGTAATTTCAACTTAAAAAGTTTTTTCAGAAATGAAAACTGACATAATTTCTTCCTAAGTTCTGACTCGTACATTTATATACATTTAAATAATCACAATTTGTAGGTATATCTGCCATACCATTCCGTACAAGTTAAATCTGATAATCGAAGCTAATATGCTAAGAAACATTTATTTCTTTAGATGCTCTGATTATTCTCTCATCTTTTGCACCTTGACTACCCCACTAATAGTGTTTACTTTCGCTTCCAGACAATTCTAATACAGACATCTGGCAAAGTTGGTAAAACAAGTGACTAATGACTGACTCTATGGGAAACAATGAGTTTTGTTTCCATTGCGGGGCAATCCTCATTGTTTCCCGTGAGGCCAGTCATTTTGATCTTTAAAGTATTTTCTCATACCTCGAATACGACTGCCAAAATTTACTTTTTATACGCAGGCTGGCACACACATTATCACGTGAGAGTTGAAAGTTCAATTTGTTGTTTTCCCGGGTGGCTTAGTGGTTCTTTACATTCGAGTAAAACGTGGGGGCGTTTGACTTTAATTGAGAAAAACCTCGATTATCGGATTCTTTTTAATATCCGGACTTCTTTTGTCTTGCACCCTTTATGAGTATCAATTAGTCGCATTTGGGATCCATAACAACTTTTCCCCACCAAACAAAGCTAAATTCGCCTAATGAAAAACAGCAAAGAGGATGTAATAGGATGCAACAGAGAGAGATGAAAACTGACAGAATTGCCTCTCAAGTTGTAACTCGTACATTTATGAGTCACAATTTGTAGATATATCTGCCGTACCATACATGTAGTTATGTGTTCCTTTTTCAGACCCGCGCACGGAGCCAAAAATCTGATAACCGAAGCCAATATGCTAAGAAATATTTATTTCTTCGATGCTCTAACTATTTTCTCATCTTTTGCACTCTAGCTACCCTGCTAATATTATTTACTTTCGCATCCAGAAAATTCTAATACAGACATCTGGCAAAGTTGGTAAAATAAGTGACTAATGACTGACTCCAAGGAAAACAATGAGTTTTGCGGGGCAAGAGAAAGCAGTCCTCACTGTTTTCCGTGGGGCAAGTCACTTTAATTTTCATTTTTTTTCAGTATTTTCATATACATCTCAACACGAAAATGACTGCAGAAAAACTATTTTTTTGTACGCAGGCTGGCGCACACATTTGCTGCGGTTTCACGGTGAACGAACTTATCACGCGAGGGTCGAAAGTCAAGTCGTTGTTTCCCAAGAAGCTAGTGAATTTTTTTTACCCTTGAAAGTTGGTGCATTTTGATTCACGGCTCGTGACATGTTCAACCCTCCAATCAAAAAACGTATTTGAGTCGGGCATTGCATATATATATTGCGCTCAAGAGCTTTAAACAAGTCAAGAATTACATTATGCTTTTAGCACCCTAAGCTACTTTTCCTTCAAGTTTCAGTTGACTGAAATCCCAATATTAGCAACGTTATGTGTTCCTTTGAAGAAAACGTTGCCGTTGTGGCGGACCAGAGTAGGTTATGTAGGGGCTTTTTTCATACCGCATGGTTGTTTACAGTTAGGAGGCTAAAATGACAGTCAAGTGCTTGTTTATTTCAAATTGCACGAGAAAAATCATGTGATTACGTGTTAATAATATGCATGGAAAAATACGAGATGGTTCATCATAATTAAGCATAAGCAAAGCGCGCACATCGAGTGCAAAAATTATTTATTCAAACCGTGCGTTCGGTCAAAACAACCGCGTACGATCAAAACAATAATATGCAATAATATCTTTACAACTTTAAGGCGCAAAAAAGTCCGGCTAAACAGTTGAAGGAATTGTTCAGTCTGTGTCCGGATCACTAACGATAAAATTGAATCGTCGTTTCCGAGGTTTAACCATGTTTGTTTTTAATTTCGGCGTTGGATCGCTCGAGCAAAGTGTTAAATTGGGTCGGCTCGTAATTTTCGATTTCCTTGGCAATTCCCTTCTCTAAACATCACTTTTTCCAAACCGACAACCAAATAGCAATGCTTTTTACAGCGTTTTCGTTGTTTGAGCTGTTTTTCAGCAACGGTGGCGAAAGAAAACCTACTTAAAACGCCGACATCCAAGGCTCACATTTGATTGGCTATTTATGAATTTCTTTGATTATTGACCAATCAGAATGTCTGATTTGTTACTTTTTTTGCACTAAATTAACCCTCTTCTGCATTGAATTAACTCTCTTCTGCACTGAATTACCTGAAAACCACATTTATCTTAACCAATCAGAACTGAGTGATTTTTCCATGTATATTATTAATGAAATACTGTAAACAAATAATAACTACAACTCATGTTTGTTCTGTGAGTTAATTCTCGAGTGAGGATTGGTCGTTCATTTTTCTAGTTTTTTATTTAATTCTTACGGGCCTTCGGAAACGAAAGAGTTCTAAAACTAATCTGAATGCATCCCCTTACGTAATAAGATTGAGAGATAAATTGATCCGTTAGTTGAATCGACAAATTCTCACCTGCACTGATCTGTTGATAACGTCTTTCCGATTTTCCAGATCTCGAGGATGTAAAACGTGGTCTGAGTCACTAAATTCATACTAATATGTTCCATCGCTTTTTGGTTCGATGTGGATCGACATACAATCATCCTCTAAATAACACTTTAATTCACAATCCTCTGACGATTCTGTCACATGTACGCTGATTACGTGATCGACAACCAAGGCGCTTCCTTCGACTGAGAATTCAAACAGTAGCGTGCGACATTCATCTAGTGATAATAAATGTATAGGAAACAAAATTGAAGATGGTACGCCTTTGATGCCTAATTGTTTTAATGATGTTATATTTTAGAGTGTTACTTTAAACATTATATGGTAAATGATACTTTTATTGGTCGACATTCGTCATTCTAGCTCATCACCTGTCCTGTGCTTACAAACCTGAATTTCCTTGAATGATATCCCCAATCTCTGATTTATGATTAAAATACCCGAGGATTACGCCGAATTGTTTTATACTTCGGAATCTTTGACCTTAACATCCCTCGTCTCATTCGATCCCTTAACACGGACAATTGAGCTTTATCTAATTAGCTGAAAACGGCGAATAAAGGAGACGAAAGTATAAAGAGAATACGGAAACTTTGAGAAATTCTTAAAGCCAAACTCAAGATTTCACGAAGGGCTTTCAAACTATAGTCAGTACTGATCACTTTTTCGTAGCTGTCAAGAACACAGATTTTTAGAGTGGACGGAGTTTTGATATTTGTGACTATAGTCAGTTTACGCAAACTTTTTCATTTACAGAACCACGCAACACTAAACTGATTCATAAAATGTCAGATTTGTCTAACACATGAAAGCTTAAACTGACATAAAGTGTGATCTACAGTGTCGGAAAACTAATCTCATGCAGTAACATCATTACTCATTCGAGGTTTTATAGTTTCTAGAGGGATTCATGAGAGGATCATGTTCTCCTGTAAATGAGAGAACCAAAGGTGGAATGATGTTCTTCATTCTCTCTTAAGGAAACATAAGTGAAAAATCTTAAAGGAATGGCTTACCACTTCCTTGAGAGACTTTGAACGAGCCAAGCGCTTTAAAGAAAGGAAAAGTACGATCGGGAATATTCGTTCTGACATGCAAAAAAATTTTGTAAAGCTGTCGGGAAAAAAGTTATAAAACTTGCCGCGGCACTTTAACTCTTTAACCCCTAAGAGTGACTAGCATCTAATTTCTCCTTACAGTATCACCGCTGAATCACACATTAATGTCATGAGAATAAAGGAAATGATCACCAACTAAAGAAACTCTTTATTGTTAGACAAATTTTCTATGTCACAACCTTAGTAAATGTTCAGAGAACATTATGGAGAATACGTATACTGATCTTAGGGTGTAAAGGGTTAAAGAAATTGTGGCAAGCTCTAAGGTGATAACGAACAGCCCGCATAACTTGGCTTGGAGTTTTAACGGAGCAAACTAACTAAGAAGAGTCGCAAGTACAGATCAAGTTGTGCAACCTTTAGTTTGTTATAATCCTCATTTCTAAAGAGGGAAAACAAGCGGCGTGACCAAACAAAAGAGAAAGGCTTACTCCTCTAACCTCAATTGTTCTTGGAAGTAAGTAAAGCTACATAAACTTCTGCATAGAAAACCGCGTTTAACTCATTGACTCCCTTAGGCTGTGGTGTATGTAAAACTATAACTAGACGATAAAACAGTGGAGCACTATTGGTGAGTCACAAGGAAGGGGGAATGTCAGACATGTGACCTAATTAGATATTTGTACGCTTAAACGTCTTTATAACCTGCAGCTGGTCACGGTGACGGCGCATTTCTTGTGTTCGTCTTTGTTTTGATTATTCGTTTGTTAAAGTTATTCGCACAATCAAGGGTTGCATAGGTTACAGACAGCTCTGAGTCACACGCAACTAACGAAGAAAGACTCTTCTGAAATCGCCGATTGAGTTAACCGTCTGAGAGGCGATATCATCGCATTCCACGTCGTACAGGTCACCAACGTTATTCAAGTGGACCTTAAGATGATACTTGGTTGTCCGAAGGCGGGAAACTGGTATAACCTGTCTTCATCTTCTCCATTTCCCCACTTTCCAACCAAGTACTTTCCACTTACTAGTCCCCAATCTTTGCAAATGCCAACTAACTTGGAATTGTCATCCTTCTTCAATCTCACAAACGAACCACAAGCGTCCGGTTGCTCATCTGTCTGACTGCTGAAGTACTGGACCACAGCTTCACCTGAGCTGTTGGAAACTGTGACCATGTGGAACGTGCGTCCCTGTTTCTTGTGGCAGTGGAAGTCAGTCTCAGCTGAGTAAAGAACAAGTGTCTTCTGAGCTCTTTCAAGGCACATTTCTGCAGAACCATGTGTGACAAGGATCTTCGTAGAGAAAGGACGAATAGCCAAGACCAGGATATTCTAATAGAAACTGCTCCAATTCAAATAAACTCCGATTAAATTCCTCGTGTCTCAAATAAAAAGACTTATTCACTTACCACCATATCTTGACCTGTCACAATAGACCCTCAAAGGGTTTCCACTCTTCTCGGGGTTGATCCAATACTCCCCGTCTCCTTTGGAGTTTCCAGAGTCCAGAATTTCTTTACAAGAGAAGGCCGGATGAGCAGAATCTCAGCCACGTTTATCTACATCGGAAGAGGGAAGAATAATCATTTGGAACAAGGAGAGGATCAAACTTAGAAACAAAACACCCCACATAGGTCTTATTCCAAAAGAATTTTTTTTTTGCATGATCATTTGATAGCTTTTGATTTTGGCAATATTTGTAGGATCCATAGCATCCTTCAATCCCAAATTAAGAAAATGGAAAGGTAAGAGATCATAAACTTTATATTCTCTGAAAAGCGCTGAGCAGAAGTAAGGAAAAGGTCACCATTTTTCGCTTGGAAAGAGGGGGGGAGGGGGTCTCCTGGTTTTCAAAGGGAACGGAGATAGGATCAGTCTTCGCTGACGGAGTTTAAAGGTGGGACCAAAGAAAATCGACTGACTCGATTTACTGTGACAACCAAAATGCTTTCCCTTTTTTGATGCAACAGATAGTTTCGATTGTGAATTTAGAGTTTTATTAATTACATTTAGTCTGGCTCGGCGAAAGAATACCAGCGCTTTCTAAACTACCAGCTAATATAAAGGAACCTTCCCTGCTAAGGATTAAAACTTGTCTGCTGGCTTGCACACGTTACTCCACTCTGTGTCGAAATGACTAACGGTTCAGCTAACTGTACTTTGGTCCAGTGACTTGACTGAAAAAGGGTTCAGAGTAGTTTGAAATGGCTAAAGCTATCGGCAAATGGTTAATAGTAGGTCGCTTAATATCGCATCCATCTACTCACCGTAAAGTGAAATGGTTTAGCGTGACGGCAAAAGGTTTAGTACAAACCGAAATGGTCTAGTGTTACAGCAGTTGGTTGTGGGGTCTCACGTCACAACCCTATACTTTTTAGGCGCCCTTTAGCTGTAGTTTCGTCGTCTTAAAACAATGGATCGCTTTATTATGTTTCCAAGCTATGATTCTGACTGTCTAGACTTTAAATGTGCGGTTGCGCAAAATGATGCATTTTATCATTATTTTTGTCATTCCTTTTGTTTCAGATTCTTATTTTATCTTGAGGGAGTAAAATGGAGAATTCTTACCATGGTCACACGTAACCATGGTAAGAATTATCTATCTAAAGCACAGCAGTTTTCACTATAAACTATTTATAACCATGTAGTTTTAAACTATAAAATATTTTAAAGTTTTTAGGCGCCCTTTAGTTGTAGTTTCGTCGTCTTAACGCAATGAATCACTTTATCACGTTTCTTAGCAATAGTTCTGACTGTCTAGACTGTAAGTGCGCTGTGGCGTAAAATGATGTATTTTATCTGTATTTTTGTCATTCCTTTTATTTAAGATTTTTATTTTATCTTGAGGTAGTAAAATGGAGAATTCTTCTATGGTTAGGCGTAAGGCCGGTAAGGATTAAATTAAAAACTATAAAAACTGAACGGACAATCCTCTCTCGACAATTAGCTAAATACAACAAACATGAGTCATAGCTATTATTCGTTTACAGTATTTTGCCATGAACAATCGAGCAAATCTGCACGCGAGGCATCGGCATTGTATCACTGAGAGAACATAGATACCACTGGTCTTTAAACATGCAATGTCCAGTCTCAACCTCTTAGCGAGATTGTTGATCGTCTGAGTTCAGTGGACTTCCTGACCAGACCTTCGATATGGTAGGACAACCCCCTGTGTTTGGAATGACGATTATTTTAGCCTCCTAATTGTAAACTGCATGCGGTATGAAAAGAGCCCTTACATAACCTACCCTGGTCCGCCACAACGACAACGTTTTCTTCCAAGGGGCACATGAGTCGACTGAAAACCCAAAAGCCTATGGGTGCTAAAAGTATAATATAGTTCCTGACTTGTGTGAAGCTCTGAACAAGATAAAAACAAAAAAGGAAAAAAATATACATATATAATGCCCGGTTATTATGTTTGATATAAACCTCTCATTCATTGAAAATTGAAATGTCTTCGATTGTGATTGGTTACAGTATAAAAACTCGTGTCATGTCTAAAAAGTGGAATAAAACCCTCCCCCAATCCCCGCGGGGTTGAAGGTCAAAATCTGTATGATTATTTCTTTATTGTCCGGGAGATTTCCCAGCTAGGCTCGACCTCTTGTGCGAAGCATGGTTTTTCTCCGTGGCTTCCCACCGTATCAAACAGGTCGTTGAAATTTTCTTATGTCAGTAGTGAACTTTTTTCGAACTGCAAAGTGTTCTTTCCTCTTCCTCTGGAATTTTTAGTATTCACGTGCGACGCTCGCGATCCGATCAACTAGCCAATCATGTTTAGAGTCCTTCAACTTAACGTTGAGGTTGACATGGTCACTAGTTCAACCTTTTATTTAGAAGGAAGCAGTTGTTTAATCGTTATGTATCTCTCAACTCAAATAGGTTTTTTGATCGGATGGTTGAATATGTCACGCACCGTGAATCAAAATACACTGACTTTCTAGGGTAAACAAAATTCACTAAGTCCCCGAGGAGACAACAACTTTAACTTTCGACTCTCGCGCGATAAGGTTGTTCACCGTGAAACCGCGGCAAATGTGTGTGCCAGCCTACATACAAAAAGTGATTTTTGGCAGTGATATTCGGTTTGGGATGTATCAGAAAATATTTTCAACAATAAAAATTTAAATGACTGGCCCCACGGGAAACAATTAAGATTGCTTTCCCTTGCCCCGAAATAGAAAGAAAAAAAAATAGTTATAACCTGATGAGTGTAACGGTGCATTTATTTTTTATTTTGCTTTATTCGTTTGCTACTGTTATCCTGCGCACAGTCAAGGGTTGCTTGGTGTACAGATAGACGCAACTAACGAACAAAGACTCTCCAGAAATCGCCGTTTGTGTCAACATTGTGACCGGAGCCATCATCACATTCCATTTTTTTGAGGTCGTCAACGTTATGCAGTTGGACCCTAAGGTGATACATGTTTCTTTTGAAGACGGGATACCAGTATAGCCTGTTTTGATCTTCACCATGTCCCCACTTTCCAACTAAGTACTCTCCACTTACTCTTCCCCAATCTTTGCAAATGTCAGCTAACTTGGAATTGTCATCCCACGTCAATCTCACAAACGAACCACAGGCGTCCGGTTGCTCATCTATCTGACCGCTGAAGTACTGGACCACAGCTTCACCTGAGCTGTTTGAAGCTGTGACCACGTGGAATGTGCGTCCCTGTTTCTTATGGCAGTGGAATCTCAGCTGAGTGAAGGACAAGTATCTTCTGAGCTCTTTCATGGCACTCTTCTGCAGAACCATGTGTGACTTACCTATTCCACGGTATGACGTCTCAACTGACACCTTAGAAGAGGGACTTCCGAACTCAACATTTGACACCAGAAGCCAACCTCCTAAAATAAAACAGACCTAAATTATCTGGTGACATCCATGTAACTAGAATTTTGGACATAATAAATGGTAACAGGACCAATTGGGTCTGTAATCATACGAGTGCTTTCCAAAATCGCACTACCGCAAAGCGGGAGTCCGATTTGTTAATCACTCGTATCACTACAGGTAGACTTGGACGACAAGAAGGCCTGTTACCAATTAGTCAAAACTATGACAAAATTTGAGAAAGAAACCAGACATCGGTTATACGTTTTCATAAAAACGAAAAACAACAGTTTACTCAGCGAAATGCGAGACAACGGCGCGCACATGACGCGTTCTGTCCACTCACACAGGTATGACGCGTTAACTGTCCCTTTAACGGTCCTATTACACTGTTCAATTATAAATATGACGCGTACATTGTCCGGTTAGTGATCAAATCGGCCGGCTGATGATAGCCAATCACTTTCGAGAACTCTGCTGTAGTTTTGATTCAAAACATAATAAGGATCTTGGTAGAGAAAGCAAGAATAGCCAAGACCATAACGTTCCAATAACAACTGTACCGAGTCTGATATACTCCTGTTGAAGTCTTCGTGTCTCAAAACAAAAATTCATTCTCTTACCACTATATCTTGACATGTCACAATAGACCTTCAAAGGGTTTCCACTCTTCTCTGGGTCGATCCAATACTCCCCGTCTCCTTTGGAGTGTCCAGAGTCCAGAATTTCTTTACAGGAGAAAGCCGGATGAGCAGAATCCCAACCTCGTTTATCTGCATAGGAAAAGGAAAGAATAATCATTTGGAACGAGGAGAGGATCGAACTAAGAGACAAAACACGCCACAGAGGTCTTATTCCATTAGCAGGTCCTTTCGCGTAATTATTACATAACTCTTGAGTTTGGAAATTTAAATTTAAACAAAGAAAATCTGGAAAATCTATCATTATAAGGAAAAGCAAGAGATTTTAAACTTCATATTCTCTCGGGAAAGATTATACATGGATGTACACGTGAAATAAGAGAGCTCTGAAAAGCTCTTATCAGAAGTAAGAAATAGGTCACCATTTTTGACTTGGAAAGAGGAGTTGGGAGGGGTGGTAGAGTCTTGGGGGGGATATCATTGTTTTCAAAGGGAACGGAGAGGTGATCAGTCGTCGCTAACAGAGTTTAAAGGTGGGACTAAAAAAAATTGGCGGCCAATGAGGAAGATCGATAGAATAGTTCGGAACGTTATGGAAGGATCAGGAAAACTTTATTGTGACAATCAAAATACTCCAACCCCCCCCCTCACACCTCCACTAACCTTTCCATAATGTTAAGCACCTTACTCAACAGTACCTCTTCTATGATAATAAGTAGAACATGGGTTACGCCTCAGGTTTTCCGGACTTGATTTTTTGGTTTGATTACTCAGTTGACATTCCTTCTTTGCATCATTACCATCGGATTTGCTGTTGTAAGATTGGCAGTATTCATCTTGAAGGCATCTCAATCCACAGCTTATTTCGTCAGCATATAATGTCTTGGTGATGTGACCAATTAGCTCAAATCCTTAAAAAGCAACACAATCGTGTTTCATGTTCTCATCACTCAGTTTATTTTGGATACTTTAATAATACAGTTTGTGTGTAGTTAATTACCCTGTCTTAAGAGGTCATCTTGATTCTTGATATCGTTCAAAGGTGAAAATGTGGAAGCCCTGACAGTTAGGAGAGTTTCGCGTAGAAAGTTCCTGTTGTTTTAACCCGATTTTGGGGCGACCCCATATTTTTTTTGAGGGCGAACTGCTATGGCAACAGAGTACAAAGGGGGAAGAATGGAGATTTACTACCAATGAGGGGGATTGTAAGAATGTCACACATCCTTTATTGGGGGGGAGGGGATCATGTAAAGTTTATCGTGACACAGCCAAAATCTTTGCCATCCGATTCGAGTTTTCGCTCATGGCACTTGAAAAGTTCACATCCCGTCGGAAAAAAATATCACTGTGTTGGGAGGTATAACACATTCACGTGTTACCTTCAACTCTCTCGAAAACCGCGTCCCTGCTCAAGTCAGTGTGCAAAGACGAACTGAAAGCCACAAGAAACAAAGCAACACCACTCAACAGAACGGGACAGAAATGGAAACCGACTAGAAGTCCTCTCATCCTGTAATTTGAGAAAGAAAGAAAAACAGATGACAAATGTTGCCCTTCTCCCTTCTTAGATGCAACAAATAGTTTTGATTGTGAATTTAGGATTTTGTTAATTACACTTTGTTATGCATCAGTCAACTTTGCACGAAGTACTGATGACGACTCTTGGGGTTAGCGTTTCTTTACATTTGAGTAAAGCGTGGTGGCATTTAACTAGAAACAAACCTAGATTACTCGTATTGTTTTTATTATGTTGTTATCAAAGTTAGAAGGCAATCTTCTTTTAAGTTTAAATTAACCAATTTTTTCCAAATTGAATGACTTGGTTACTCCTTGAAACCAGTATATTCTGACCTTCAGTTTCTTTCCACTCCTCTCGTATTTTTCTATTGAAAAAAATCTTTTATCAACTTTTTAGTGAAACTTGAGACAATAATTAAAAGAAATAAAAGAAACAGCTTGAGAACCCCTTACGTAAATCAAGCATTAGTCAGCTTTACACGAAGTACTGATCACGACTAACATTTCTGATTAACATTTCTTTACATTTGAATAAAGCGTCGAGGCGTTTAACATTAATAGAAACAAACCTAAATTCTCTTGCACACGGATTTCTATAAGTATTGTTTAGTCGCATTATGGATCGATGACAACTTTTTCCCACCAAACAAAGCGAAATTCGTCTAATAAAAAAAAAGCTGCAGGATGTAATTTCAACAGAGAGAGATGAAAAGTGACAGAATTCCCTCTCACCTTCTAACTCGTACATTTATGAGTCATAATTTGTAGATATATCTGCTGTACCATACATGTATTTCTGTGTTCCTATTTTGGACTCGTGCACGTTAAAATTGGCAACGGAAGCCAATATGCTAAGAAACATTTGTTTTTTTCTGATGCCCTAATTATTTCTCATCTTTTGCCCTCTAACTACCCTACAAATAGTGTTTACTTTCGCTTCCAGACAATTATAACGTAGACACCTGGCAAAGTTGTTAAAATAAGTGATTAATGACCGACTCCAAGGGAAACAGTGAATTTGTTGCCCTGACAGGGCAAGGTAAAGCAATCCTCACTGTTTGCCGTGGGGCCAGTCACTTTAATTTTAATTTTTTAAAGTGTTTCTCATACACCCAACTCGAAAATGACGGCAAAAAAATAATTTTTATAGGCAGGCTGGCACACACATTTGCTGCGGTTTCACGGTGAACGACCCTATCATGTGGGAGTCGAAAGTCAAGTTGTTGTTTCCCCGGGGGCCTAGTGAATTTTTTTTATCCTAGAAAGTAAGTGTATTTTGATTCACGACTCCCGATATGTTCAGCCCTCCAATCAAAAGACGTATTTAAGTTGGGCATTGCATTACGTGAGAGTTGAAAGTCAAGTCATTGTTTCCCCGGGGGCCAAGTGAATTTTGTTTATCCTCGAAAGTAAGTGTATTTTGATTCACGACTCGCGACATGTTCAGCCCTTCAATCAAAAGACGTATTTAAGTTGGGCATTGCATAAATGTCGCGTTCAGAGCTCTCTACAAGTCAAGAATTATATTATGCTTTTAGCACCCATAAGCTACTTTTCCTTCAAGTTTCAGTCGACTGAAATCCCGATATTAGCAACGTTAGGTGCCCCCTGGAAGTAAACGTTGCCGTTGTGGTGGACCGGAGTAGGCTACGTAGGAGCTCTTTTCATACCGCATGCACGTTTACAATTAGGAGGCGAAAATAGTCGCCATTCCATACGAGGGGGTTCTCCTATCATATCAAAGGTTTCTGTATCAGAAAGTCCACTGAACTCACACGAGCGACAGTCTCGCTAGGAGTTTGAGACTGGTCATTGATTGTTTGAAGACCAGTGGCACTCAGGGATGCAATGCCGATGCCTCGATCGCGAGCATGACAAAATACTGTAAACAAATAGTAACCAGAACTCATGTCTGTTCTATGAGTTAATTCTCCAGAGGGGATTGTTCGTTCACTTTTCTAGATTTATATTTAATCCTTACAGGCCTTCGGAAACGAAAGAGTTCTAAAAACTAATCTGAATGCATCCCCTTACGGAATAAGATTGACAGAAAAATTGATCCGTCAGTTGAATCGACAAATTCTCACCTGTACTGATCTGTAAATAACGTCTTTCTGATTTTCAAGATCTCGAGGATGTACAACATGATCTGAGTCACTCAATTCACAATAGTACGTTTTATCCCCCATTACTCCGATGTTGATCGACATACAATCATCCTCTAAATAACACTGCAATTCACAATCCTCTGGCGATTCTGTCACATACACGCTGATTACGTGATCGACAGAAAAAGCGCTTCATTCGACTGAGAATTTAAACAAGAGCGTGCGACATTCATCTCATGATAATAAATGCATACGAAACGTCATTCGCTCTAACAAAGGTCTAACGCTCAAAACGTCAGCTTTTAAGCTCTTTGTGGTGGCCAATTCACGTTAACAATTCAGTTGATAAAACCAAATTATTGTCATACTTCCCCACCGACACAGCACTACTGTTTCCCTCAAAACTTACCCCCTTTATACTTCAGACAAGGTTCCTCGTGCTCTCGAAAACTTGAACGATTTGACTTTGAGATGGATGAAATTACAAATTATCAGATTTGAAAAAAACACCTTGCCCTAATATTTATTTATATTCACGCGGAAATCAGTATATTTACATATTCCGTGACTAAACAAAAGGGAAGGGCTAACTCGTCGAACCTTTGAAATTAGTAAAGCAACATAACCTACATAGAAAGCCGTGTTTATCTCATTGACACCTTTAGGATGCGGTGCATGTAAAACTATAACTACATGATAAAAACGGTGGAGCACTGTCGGTAAGCTTACCACAAGGAAGAAGCGAGCGCCAGACATGTGACCTAACTAGATGTTTGTACACTTAAACGTCCTGCAGCCGGTCACGGTGACGGCGCATTTCTTGTGTTCGTCTTTGTTTTCATTATTCATTTGTGAAAGTTATTCGCACAATCAAGCGTTGCTTAGGGTACAGACAGCTCTGAGACAAACGCAACTAACGAACAAAGACTCTCCAGAAATCGTCGATTGAGTTAACAGTCTAACAGACGATATCATCGCAATCCATGTCGTTGAGGTCACCAACGTTATTTAAGTGGACCAAAGGCGGGAAACCGGTATAACCTGCTTTCAATTCTCCACGTCCTCACGTTCCGAAAAAGTACTTTCCACTCACTAGCAAATGCCAGCTAACTTAGAATTTTCATCCTACTTCAATCTCACAAACGAACCACAGGCATCCGGTTGCTCATCTGTCTGACCGCTGAAGTATTGGACCACAGCTTCACCAGAGCTGTTGGAAGCTGTGACCATGTGGAACGTGCGTCCCTGTTACTTCTGGCAGTGGAAGTTGGTCTCAGCTGAGTGAAGAACAAGCGTCTTCTGAGCTCTTTCATGGCACTTTTCTGCAGAACCATGTGTGACTTACCTATTCCGCGGTATGATGTCTCGACTGACACCTTGGGAGAGGGGCTTCCAAACTTAACATTTGACACTAGAAGCCAACCTCCTACAATAAAACCAACCTAGGTGATCTTGTGACATTCATGTAACTAGAATTTTTTACATATGAATAATGGTAACAGGACCGAGTGGAGTCCAATTTGGTCTGTAACCATACGAGTGATTTACAAAATTGTACGACCGCAAAGCGGGAGTCTGATTTTTTTTATCACGAGTATGATTACAGACAGAATTGGACGACAAGAAGGCCTGTTACCAATTAATCAAAACAATGACAAAATTTGAGAAAGAAACTAGATATCAGTTATACGTTTTCATAAAAACGAAAAACAACAGTTTACTCGGCGGAATGTGAGACAACAGCGCCCGCACATGACGCGTTCTGTCCCCTCATACAGGCATGACGTGTTAACTGTCCCTTTCACGGTCCTATTACACTGTCAAATTGCAGGCATGACGCGCATACTGTCCTGTTGTGCTCAAGTCGGCAGGCCCTTGAGAACCAAACACGTTCGAGAGTTTTTTTACGGTTTCGATTAAAAAACATAACAAGGATCTTCGTAGAGAAAGGACGAACAGCCACGATCAGAATGTTCTAATAGAAACTGCTCCAAGTCAAATATACTCCGGTTAAAGTCCTCGTGTCTCAAATAAAAAGACTTATTCACTTACCACCATATCTTGCCATGTCAAAATAGACCCTCAAAGGGTTTCCACTTTTCTCGGGGTCGATCCAATACTCCCCGTCTCCTTCGGAGTGTCAAGAGTCCAGAATTTCTTTACAGGAGAAGGCCGGATGAGCAGAATTCCAGCCTCGTATATCGACATCGGAAGAGGAAAGAATAATCATTTGGAACTAGGAGAGGATCAAACTTAGAAACAAAACACGCCACATAGGTCTTATTCGAAAAGTACTTCTTTTCGCGTGATCATTTGATAGCTTTTGATTTTGGAAATCTCTGTAGGATCCCTAGCATCCTTTAATCTCAAATTAAGAAAATGGAAAAGTTATAAGGAAAGGCAATAGAACATAAACTTTACATTCTCTGAAAAGCGCTGAGCAGAAGTAAGGAATAGGTTACCATTTTTCGCTTGGAAAGAGGGGTGGGAGAGGTGAGCGGGTCTTGCAGGTGGGGTGGGTCTCCTGGTTTTCAAAGGGAACGGAGATAGGATCAGTCGTCACTGACAGAGTTTAAAGGTGGGACCAAAGAAAATCGACTGACTCGATTTATTGTGACAACCAAAATGCTTTCCCTTTTTTGATGCAACAAATAGTTTTGATTGTGAATTTAGGGTTTTATTAATTACACTTTGTCTGACTCGGCGAAAGAATATCAGCGCTTTTTAAAGCACCAGCTCAAAGGAACTTTCCCTGCTAAGGATTAAAACTTGTCCATTGGCTTACGTCACAATCCTATAGTTTTTATATTTTTTAGGCGCCCTTTAGTTGTAGTTTCGTCGTCTTGAAACAATGAATCGCTTTATTATGTTTCCTAGCTATGATTCTGACAGTCTATACTTTAAATGTGCTCCATTTAAAGTACAGCAGTTTTCACTATAAACTATTCATAACCATGTAGTTTTAAACTATAAAATTTTTTTCAAATTTTTAGCCGCCCTTTAGTTGTAGTTTCGTCGTCTTAAAGCAATGAATCACTTTATCACGTTTCCTAGCAATAGTTCTGACTGTCTAGACTGTAGGTGTGCTGTCGCGTTTATCTGTATTTTTGTCATTCCTTTTATTTCAGATTCTTATTTTATCTTGAGGTAGTAAAATGGAGGATTATTACCATGGTTAGGCGTAAGGCCGGTAAGGATTAAATTAAAAATTAGAAAAATTAACGGACAATCCTCTCTCGACAATCAGCTAAATACAACAAACATGAGTCATATAAATCTGAACGCGAGGCATCGGCATTGTATCACTGAGAGAACATAGATACCACTGGTCTTTAAACATGCAATGTCCAGTCTCAATCTGTTAGCGAGATTGTTGCTCGTGTGAGTTCAGTGGATTTCCTGACATAGAGACTTTCGATATGGTAGGACAACCCCCTCTGTATGGAATGACGATTATTTTAGTCTCCTAATTGTAAACTGCATGCGGTTTGAGAAGAGCCCTTACATAACCTACCCCACAACGGCAACGTTCTCTTCCAAAGGGCACATGACGTTGCTGATATCAAGATTTGAGCCGACTGAAAACCCGAAGGAAAAGGAGCTTATGGGTGCCAAAAGCATAATATAGTTCTTGACTTGTGTGAAGCTCACAATGCCCGGTTATTATGTTTGATATAAACCTCTCAATCTTGAAAATTTAAATTTCTTCGATTGTGATTGGTTACAGTATAAAAACTCGTGTCATGTCTTAAAAGTTGAAAAAGAAACCATTCCCCAATCCCTGAGGGGTTGAAGGTCAAAATCAGTATCATTATTTTTTTATTGTCTGGGAGATTTCCCAGCTAGCCTCGTCCTCTTGTGCTAAGCATGGTTTTTCTCAATGGCTTCTCGCCATATCAAACAGGTCGTTGAAATTTTCTTGTTCAAGTTCAAGTTGTTGCTTTCCCAGGGGGCTTAGTGGTTCTTTACATTCGAGTAAATCGTGGGGGCGTTTGACTTTAATTGAGAAAAACCTCGATTCTTCGGGTTCTTTTTAATATCCGGACTTCTTTTGTCTTGCTCCTTTTACGAGTATCAATTAGTCGCATTTGGGATCCATAACAACTTTTCTCCACCAAACAAAGCCAAATTCGCCTAATGAAAAACAGCTGCACGATGTAATAGGATGCAACAGAGAGAGATGAACACTGACAGAATTGCCTCTCAGGTTCTAACTCGTACATTTATGAGTCACAATTTGTAGATATATCTACCGTACCATATATGTAGTTATGTGTTCCTATTTCGGACCCGTGCACGAATCCAAAAATCTGATAACCGAAGCCAATATGCTAAGAAATATTTATTTACTCGATGCTCTAATTATTTCTTCATCTTTTGCACTCTAGCTACCCTGCTAATATGGTTTACTTTCGCTTCTAGACAATTCTAGTACAGACATCTGGCAAAGTTGGTAAAATAAGTGACTAATGACTGACTCCAAGGGAAACAATGAGTTTTGCGGGGCAAGGGAAAGCAGTCCTTATTGTTTCCCGTGGGGCCTGTCATTTTAATTTTCATTCTTTTCAGTATTTTCTCATACATCTCAACACGAAAATGCCCGCAGAAAAATTACTTTTTTGTACGCAGGCTGGTACACACATTTGCTGCGGTTTCACGGTGAACGACCTTATCACGTGAGAGTCGAAAGTCAAGTCGTTGTTTCCCTTGGGCTAGTAAATTTTGTTTACTCTCGAAAGTTGGTGAATTTTGATTCACGGCTCGTGACATGTTCAACCCTCCAATCAAAAAACGTGTTTGAGTCGGGCATTGCATATATATATTGCGCTCAAGAGCTTTAGACAAGTCAAGAATTACATTATGCTTTTAGCACCCATTAGCTACTTTTCCTTCAAGTTTCAGTTGACTGAAATCCCAATATTAGCAACGTTATGTGCCCCTTGGAAGAAAGCGTTGCCGTTGTGGCGGACCAGAGTAGGTTATGTAGGGGCTTTTTTTCATACCGCATGCTTGTTTACAGTTAGGAGGCTAAAATGACCGTCATTCCATAAAGATGGGGTTCTCCTATCATATCGAAGGTCTCTGTGTCAGAAAGTCGACTGAACTCACACGAGCGACATTCTCGCTAAGAGATTGAGACTGGCCATTGCTTGTTTAAAGACCATTGGTATCTATGTTCTCTCAGTGATGCAATGCCGATGCCTCGATCGCACGTGCAGATTGTTCGTAAAGGTAATCACATGATTTCGAGTGTAATTTGGAATAAATAAGCCCGAGTAAGTTTTTGAAAAGACTAGCAAAATTGCACGAGCCCGTAAGGCGGGTGCAATTTGTGGTCTTTGAAAAAATTAACAAGTACTTGTTTATTCCAAATTGCACGAGAAAAATCATGTGATTACGTGTTAATAATATACATGGAAAAATACGAGATGGCTCATCATAACTAAGCATAAACAAAGCGCGCGCATCAAAAGCATGCAAAAATTATTTATTCAAACCGTGCGTTTGGTCAAAACAACAGCGTGCGATCAAAACAATAATATGCAATAATATCTTTACAACTTTAAGGCGCAAAAAAGTCCGGCTAAACAGTTCTAGGAATTGTTCAGTCTGTGTCCGGATCACTTTCGATAAAAATTGAATCGTCATTTCCGAGGTTTAACCATGTTTGTTTTTAATTTCGGCGTTGGATGGCTCGAGCAAAGTGTTAAGCTGGGTCGGCTCGTAATTGTCGATTTCCTTGGCAATTCCCTTCTCTGAACACCACTTTTTCCAAACCGACAACCAAATAGCAGTGCTTTTTACAGCGTTTTCGTGGTCTGAGTCACTCAATTCATAATTGTATGTTCTATCACCTTTTGGTTCGATGTTGATCGACATACAACCATCCTCTAAATAACACTTTAATTCACAATCCTCTGACGTATGTACGCTGATTACGTTATCGACAACCAAGGCGCTTCCTTCATGTATAGGAAACAAAATTGAAGATGGTAAGCCTTTGAAGCCTAATTGTTTTAATAATGTTATATTTTAGAGTTTTACTTTAAACATTTTATGGTAAATGAAACATTTCTTGGTCGACATTCGTCATTCTAGCTCATCACCTGTCCTGTGCTTACAAACCTGAATTTCCTTGAATGATATCCCCAATCTCTGATTTATGATAAAAATACCCAAGGATTACGCCGAATTGTTTTATACTTCGGAATCTTTGACCTTAACATCCC